GAAATGCATAAAACTATACCGGTAATTTAAGTAAAAATACCGTCCTCCAAGCGATACAAATTATGCCGGTCTGACGTAACTCTCCGTTTAAAGACCTTAATGCACAGACTATTAAATCATCAGAGAGTCGGATACTTATTTTTCGAAGTATACTAATGTGTTTGTTTTTTTACGCAAAATTACATAGTCGAATGGATACTTGTGTCCGCACACAAGTTAAACTATGTCAATGTCAGCTTATACGTCCAATTAAATGACCTAATGCTAAAATATTATGCAGACCAACCCAGTAGATTAGCATTTATATACAATTTATCGCCGTACAAGATCAAGATTCCATCTCCCTGACTGCAACGATTACAAAACACATTATACATTGATGAGTGGCGCTTAGTAATAATTCTACAGTGAATCATTTATCATTTACGCATACTCTGTTCATACATTTAATTGTTTAATTACCATTAGAATGTAAACAACTATAGATTGCTATAAAAATGTTTACATTTCACGTCGAGTTACGTTTCAATGATATCATAATTTTCTTAAGAACTCGGTATCTACAATTAAACTTATGAATGCCGACGTAAATTAATTAAAATAAATAAGATGGTCTCTCTAACAAAAACCTGCTCTGTGATCCGTACGGTACAATTGGTTTACGACTGTCTCTAAAATTAAACAGCGTAACCGCGATGTACTAAGTCCTTGAAAACCGCCTAATATCCCGGACACATTATTCATTTTACTGTTTAACCAACATCCCGCAACAAATATTTAAACCGGAACACAAAAAATCTTTTCTCATATTAATTTCAACCTTTTTGTCCAAGAGCTTGATTCAGTTTAAAAAGAAAAACAAAACAATTTTGATATAACGTCGCATGGCCGGCAACATGAAAAAGGAAACAGACCTCCGAAAAAGGCACCGCGGAATATCGTGGATGTATTTCATTTTTGATATGCCGTGCACGATTCCCGGCGGACCTTCGATATCCCATGTGCAACATTGTACTGCGCCACAGCAAACACCACTGTACTTAATCTCAAGAGCATCTTTAATTTCTCCAAATACGATTGCTATACGACTCTATCAAGATTAAAATTTAAAGGATTTTTGTACTATTATACTATCTTGTGACACAAAATATGATCTAAAGAATCCAGTTCTTGATGTGAGCTTTGTGATAGTTACTAAAAATCCAAATTTCTGACATTAAATTGGCATAAGTGTACCAAAATCTATGTCAAGCGTATTCTCTCTCACTTCATTATCATTTTGTTATTCGTAAAAGATACTCAAAGTGGCAATAGCATACTTACAATTAAAAGCAAATTATTTATAGTTAGTCTAACCAGTTTATTATATCTAGTTTATTATGGGGATGCTCTGTGAGGCGCGATTAATGTCATCAAAATAAAAACACTTCACATTTTGTCTATGTTACTTTATAGCTGACAGGCTCAGCGACGCCCGCGGTCGACTTGTGGTTTTATGGTAGAGTAACCACGATACAGATTTTGGAATACATGAAGAAATAAAAATAAAGGATAATCTTCTTTTAGTTCATTTACCTGTGTCGTATTTGCAAACTGAAATTAAATTTTAAACCATTTGAAATAATAGTGTATAATCTTTGGAGTCCATGCTATTTATTTAACATATTTTTTTAATTCTGTCTTAAAATTTTATCCAATTTATCCGAAATCGTGATGACATCGTCCAGGCGGATCCGCGTTGTGCTCAGCTCATTAGCCGCGCGGCGGTTGCGGTCGGCGGTCAGTGCCAATGCGGCGTGAAACGTAGAAAATTGATCACTGAATACAAACATGACCACTCCGAAGGTCTTCTTATGTTTACTTACCTTCTTTTATTTTATTAAGCACCCAAAAACACTTTAACTCCACTTCTTAAGTTTTCTATCAACAAAAACAGTGATAAAAGTTACTTGGCTTAGTGCCCAAGTATATTTATTGTTATACTTATAAAGTATAGTATTCAATAATAACCCACTTTGCCGTTATTCTAATCTATATTTAATTCACATGTTCAATTGTTTAGTTTTTTTTATTGTTATTGATGAAAATAAATATTTCTTGTATTCCATACGTAACGAAAATTACGAAAGTAATCTATTTTGCCAACGATTTATCAAGCAACATCAGAAATAAATCTTCGACTTTATAGGTTATAATAAACCTACAAACATTTTTCCATTCATGATATAAAAGCAATCAAACGATCGCCTCTGGTAACCATTAAATTAAAAATAATCATTAAGCGCGCAGCGAAAACTTTCATTTCCATCAGCCACGTAACAATTTCACTATGCGCTATAGACAAGCAACTGAATCGAATCGGGAACATCAACTTCCTCTAAAATAATTAAAATATTACTAATAATTCACTTTGATAGCACGCATGCACCCTAGATGTCAACATTTTTAGGACGTTTTAAAAAAAAAACTCGTTTTTATACCAATTCTTTATTTAAACACTTCTGACTGACTACATTTGTCACGCCGAGACATCGCCGTATTAATAGAATGCACCTCGCTTTTCGTTACACCAGATAATCAATATGAAGCTGATATTCATATGTTACCAATATATGAGCAAAAGTCAGTACGAATGTTTATGTAATTAATTCCCAAATCAAATTCTATTAGAAATCAGACAGGTGACCAAGACAAGCAACGAAACAGTATACTTCACTAAACATACAAGACAATATTTTGTAAACGTACAGCATGTATAAGAATTATCAGTCAGTGTGAAGTAATGCAATGGTTTGCGCGAAGCCCAGCATGGCGCATTTCCGTGTCCGCCGAGATATCGCGCCGCGAAACCATAAATTGTTCGGCCGCAGCTGCAGGCCAACGAGTAAAAGTTATTGTATTTATTAAGATACAATCACTGCATAAATCTATAAGAAGACGGGAAATTTATACGAACAGATGTTCTTTCTGAACGCACGTATCTTTAACTGTAGTTTGTAATAGAAGAAACTCCAACAATACGTTAAAGTATTAGAAGAAAAGAACACGGACGAATTGATAACGTTCTCCTTTTTAAAGTTGGCTAAAAATAATCTAGGCTAAAATAATAAACTAAATTTATTAAACTATGTAATTAAAACTAACAAGAAATTTTTGTGATTTGAAGAGCTTGCGTCCTTTAAAAAGTTAACAAAAATATAAGTACTTGAAGTACTTTGTATATCTTTTTATGCATCAAAGCCTTCAAGCGACGACTATAGATTCCATTACGATAAATCTAGTAACCACGACTCCTTCCACATTCTATGGATGTATATGTATGAATACATATAAAGGCTTATGACAAATGTATTTAAATACAAAGATTGACCATGGAGTTACATTTTTCACACATTAATTGTACCAAAAGAATACTTCTAGAAACCTATAGTATACATATTTATAAAAAAAGCGGATTTTTAGAAGCATATGATCGGGAATCCGCACCCTTAATGGTTGAGTGTGCGGATTTCCGGACCAAGAGGTCGGCGGTTCGAATCCCGCCATTCGACTATTGTCGTAAAACCATATCCTAGCACAAGCCTAGAGCTTATATATATATATAGCGCAGTTAAAATCTCTGTATGGCTTATCGCTTTATGACATAACAAATATTATTTTAACACTGTTTAAATTTATAATGATTTAAATATTTGCACTAGATTAAAGCTCTCATTAGTTAGACTTTAATAGTGTTCCTACGCCCACATCCCATAACAAACGTAACGGAAACAAAATTAAACTTTTAAATGCGACACGGATATGTTTTACTGCGTTCGTTATTGATTTACGTCTATAGCTGACTGCTGTTTCAATTTTACTTACGACTGCTCGAGTTATAAAATTCAAATCTTAAAGAAAAAGTTAATCTTCCTAACACTAAAACTTATTTCATTTGAAGAAATATCTCTCTTTTCATAGCGAGAAGATTAGTCTATTTAAGGAAAATTTAAAAGTAAAATAATACACACCTTTACATACATACTTTGTGTTACGGTTACTATTTTCTATACAACAAGTGATCTAATACTTTAATTAATGTAAATGACATCACATTTTTCAAGAAACCTATAACTTATATATAAATTAATTGTGCTAGAGACACGATATTTAATGTCAATAAAGTTAAACGCTTATTTTAACTTCTGGTCTAAAGGAACGCAACTGGACAAAACTGCGTAGAATTACTGGCTAATGTACTATTATTACTACTAATCTTTTATAATAGATGGCGGTTACTACAAAGCTTGCCGAGATTGCAATTTACAGCGTGTCGCTCAAATTGTACTCTTAGACCCCGTAATGATTTTTTACTTCAATCTTAAGAAGTAGTTTTAATAAAATCTATAGAATAATTGTCGTGTGTAACTTCACGCGTTGTTTGCTGACATAGCTATTGATTGAGCTACAATTTATTTGTAAATTTCCTTCGATATCTACTAAAAAAATTGTTCAGGAAAAGTATTGGACACGGACTTTGGGTGCCCTGATAATTTTCTAAGTGAATGAAACAAAGATAAAAAATGTAATTAGAAAAAGATTATCGACAAATAATAGAACAATTTTATAGCGAGCATGAAAACAATTTTATGCTCCGAATCTAGATTTCTCTTGCGGCTAAACTTTCTAACTTAGCCTTAATACGTGCCAAGAGTGAATTATTGTTCTGGCAAACGGTTCACAAATTATATTACCTCTTCGGAATAGTTTTACGACAAGAAAATGATTCACGACTCTGTTTGCGAATGTCATTTGTGTAAGATTAGAATTTCGAGAAAATTCGATGACACTAAGAACATTTAAGATAGGACGCAATATGTTAAAAAGAGTTAAAATAGTCCATACAAATCTCGATTAGGTTTAGAATTGTTGTAGTTAATATTATGGTTTATGCAATAATACAAACTACGAAAAACCTTAATGCCGAAGTAACTAACTCAGTATTTTTTCTCTTGTTGCAGTTCAATCAACACATCGAACTTATAAGGATTACATAATGTCCTGATTCAGTTAGAAGTTTGATTGTTGTTCAAAAATATGTTAACCAAAGTCGAGTGAAGTGAAGTGAAGTGTATCAGTAACGTACGCCAGTGTTAAAGTCAGTTTCTTCAGTAACCAAGATGGAAGCACTTGAAAGGAGGGGAAAACTTCTAGCGATCGCCGCCATCGTATTCATCGTCTTTTGGTCTCAATGTAAGTTGTTCATCTACTTCTACTATATAATAAAAAGTAAGCTAATACGAATAATAATTAGAGATATAGACTGTTACTTTTAGTTAAATCTAGTAGAAATTAAAGCTTCTTTCGTATATTGCGTTCCGGAGGCCTAATTTTAGTCCTCTTTCCCTAACTAAAATTTTCATATTAGGAAAGGGTGGGAAGGGAAAATGGATTGGCACAGGAGAGGAGGTACAGGTAGAGAAAAATGTCCTCTTTCTTTGCGTCCCCTCCTCCGTCGATTAAAGGTTGACAACGCATCTGCAATTGCGGATGTCTATGGGTAGTAGTCGCTTCGAAACTTTGACAAATTCAGGCATGCTCGTATGCCATTTTATGATATAAAAAAACTGTATGAAAAAGCAGAACATAATCTCAGTTTGACAATTGTCATACATGACGCACTCATTAGTAATATCAAAAGCAACACTCACGAAGTAAACCATGTTAAGATACGCACGATAGATAAGATTTACTTTACGTCACAAATATTTACTTTGCCCATGTACAGGCTTTGAGATGATTACATTTCATTTCGCATCTGGTATTACACAAGTAATTTAATAAAATGAGGCACGTGACAAATTATACAGAAGATTACCAGACAGGAAATAATGAAATCGCTATATAAATTCAAATGGCAAACTAATATGACAAATATACGTGTGTCCTGCTACTTAGAGGTGACATTTGTCCAACAAGGGTTATAATACAATCTATTATAGTCATTAATATGAGACACGGCAGTCTCACGTCGTACATTAGTGATGTACCTTAGAACTGCATTATACATAATTTATCATGCAGACCGCTCTGAGCTGAGTTTTGACTGAATGAAATTACACAATCACATACCGCACTTATATTTGGGTACTCATTTGATTTAAGCCTGGCTGCTTGAAATGTGTGTCACCATTTCTATAAAAAAAAAACTCTTATCATTTTAGTTATTTAAAGAAATATTGCATTTTTGCAATTGGACAACTCTATATGACGATTTTCAGTGACACACAGCCTTTAGGCTTTGACAAAGTTAGTTATACAGATTAAAAAACATACATTGGCTTTATCTGATCTTCTTGAGAAGACTAATGACGTGTTCCCAACATTTCTAGGGAAAAAAAACACCGAAAACAGATAAGAAAAGTAATTTATAGTTTTCTTGCTTAGCCTTAGTCCTTACTAGTACTAAATCTATTGAGCTTTAAGTAAACTGTTTGGCAAGACTCACGGACAGACGTATTAGCGCGATCTGATTCGATAGTAATAAATTAATTCACAACATTGTATCAAACAATACTAATCCTGTTAATTTAATAATTGATAATTATCGTGTAAATGAATCGCACTATCGAAATACAGACATCGTAAAATTCTCTCTCACTTGTTTCTCAAAGGTTGGTTTTCTGGTACATTAAGTTAAAAAAATGATGACAAATCACGTAGAATTTTTGCTATTACATTTTTGGTCAATAAGATGGAAAGAGTGGTATATCTCTTAGAAATTTCATTTGTTTTCTAAAGCAACCGTAAAATGAATAAATTAATGAAACAAATGCGAATCTCCTTTTATTTTATATTTAGTTTTTATTATTTCATTTACGTAGTATAACAATAAATGTCACACAAAGTCTAGTTTAGCGGCCACTCGGCCTTGGCTGAGAACAAGTTATTATCTAAATGCTTCGCAGGCGCCGACGCCTACAACCGTTAGTCTTGAGACTCCGGATACAGCTTCTTCAAAAACAAATGCGGTATTAGAATCCTTGCAAAAATTAAATAAATATCGCTAGAAACCATCACATAATTTTTTTAAAGTTAAGTGATTTTTTGTAAAGCATCTTGCCTGCTAATATGGGCTAGCATATTCAGAAATATTTAACTTCGGAAACCCATCAGTTCTATTGAAGATTATATGAAAAGTTACACATATTTTTGTACAAAAAAATAGCGATTAAAATCATCATCAAACATTTACTTATTAATTAATAAAGGATTTACTGGAAATTATTTTTGATAGATGTGAAGTAATCTCTTCACAGTTTAGTAATGTATGTATATTTTATAGGTCCTGGTGTGGATGGTCACCGCAATTCAACGAAGATGTCGTACGTGTGTCCGCCGCAGTTCATCCGGCTCGGCCACAGCTGCTACTTCTTTAGCGACAACAAGGCCACCTGGCAGAACGCACTCTTCGCTTGCAAGGTAACCCTACTTAACTTATATAAACATCTTGTTATCCCTTTTACGACAGGGGAAACTCAATAAAACGTCTATTGAACGATAACTTTACTGATATATCCTACCTGGATGACAAAAACCCTGTGTTACGTAAGTGGGATAAGAACAGAGAGACGATGATGATGAAGTCAACAAATGTTCCACCAAATAGTTTGATTATTCTTTGATTTTTTAACTTAAGTTTTACTAGTTTTAGCCCACCCCAATTCAATTTCATATTTTATTAAAAACATTAAGTGACTTTTCATTTTTAAATATTACCGAGAAATTTATTTAAGGTCGCATTGTAATGAAATTCTGTTGAAGTAAATCGAAGGTTTATTTACGGTGCAGTGTTACTCAATCTGTGAACATTGTACGTGCCCAGTATATCGGTTACTCGCTTTTAAAAACACATTAAATGCTAAAGCTGACTGATGTTTATCTTAAACGTATTGCCACAGTTTTATATGGACTGTAGGATACGCAAGTGTACACGAAAGCAAAACCCTAGACTCTTCGTTATATTGTGTCAATTATTTTCCCGTCACGATATTAATAAAAGTATTTATATTTCTAGCCCGCGACTTCGTCTGCGCGGGATTATAAAGAAAACTTGATTAATAGCCTAAGTGTTCTTCGAGACTATATTCTACATCATGCCAAATTTCAGCGAGATCAGTGCAGCCGTTCTGGAGATACCTTGCAACAAACATCAATACACCAAAACATTTGCATTTATAATATTACTAAGATTAAGTGTTGGTGATTACTAGTGTCGGAGGAAAAGACCCCAACTTTGAGTCGCTGCGTCAACAGAATGAATGTATTCCTTACAGCAATGAAATCCAATTTTTATCTTCATCCCACATTAGTATAGTAAATTACCTCTCAGAGCATAGCTCATACTTGTAATGAAAATACCATAGTATTAGTTTGCTATAAATGTAACATATTGCTAATGAAGACAAATGAATTAGCACTCAATATACCAATCAGTTTATTGCTGCGATAAATATTATACTCATGAATATGGCAAAAAACAGACAGACATTTCAAGTTGACGCATTTAATTCAGTACCAGACATCTTGATTTGGATTTATTGTGAGTCGTAAAATTAAACTGGTGTCCTTAACATTACGATCTCCGAATTGGCTCAGTTGATGCACTCTGTACAGACAATTGTATTTCGCTCGTTAATTTGCTAAAGACGTAAGAGATATTAGTAATATACTTCGAAGAGACATATTGAATCATTGCGTACTCGGTTGTTTTTGCTTCCAAGACGATGTTCAATGAAAATGTTTTTATGATTGGTAGCTTATGTGCAGTTTGCATGTGAATTTGCCATGATGAAAAGTCTAGACGGATACTTTTAACTTATTATTATGCATTTAAATTCTGTTAAAGTTGTAAAATACTATTTATAAGACTAGCTATTAAGATCAAAAGCTCCAATTTTATGTGACACTTAATATCTTATATATTTTATTTAGATAAATATGGTCGAAATCGAATCCGTGTTAACAGGAGGGAAGGAAATATTAGCTTGAAACTAAGTCTATATACTCCGTCAATAAAATCCAATAAAGCGTGCGAATTATTTGACAGGCGACGTGTTTATAAAACAATATGGCCGTCGCGTCGCTTCGCACACACGGTCTTAGCTAATCCTGATTTAACACATCAATTTACATATTTTAATAGAATATGCATAAAATTACGCCTTTTGAGACATAGTTTACTAAATACATTTTACATTTTGTTTATTCTTTTTAAACAATGGCTATCGTCTGCGACTCCGTCTGCGCGGAATAAAAAGGAATAAAAATTAATTAGTAGCCTATGTGTTCTTTCAGACTGTGTTCTACATCTATGCCAAATTTCAGCAGGATCCGTTCAGCTACTCAAGAGATATCTTCTAACAAATCTCCATTCATCCTTCCATCCAAACATTCGCATTTATAATATTAGTGAGATAGTAAGATGAAAGTATTTGAATGTGTACTGTTAAGTCAGAAATACAGAGCATTTAAAATATTAGTTTGGTCAATATAACACTAGAGAGGTTTATGCAACAATAACAAATGATTCGCGCGTGGGCCCCGGCCGACGCAGACTAATATGGAACCAGTTCTCGCACAATATCCTCGGCCGCCAATTTAACAGTACAGCTGTCGGACTCATGCACCGTTATACAACAACGTTTTTTGCATACCATTATAATGGTGTTACCACCTCTAAATTAAGGCTACTGAAGCTAAAAATGCTTAACATTTTTATAAAGAATGCTTAGTTAAAAACATCACCATTTATATCCATTGTCAAGGTACACAACTTTAATTTTTACAATAATTTAAATAATCACGAATCACTTCAGATTTGTCATGCGTTATTCTAAAATTAATAAAACAATTATAAACAAAAAAAAATGTAATAAAAAATGCAAATATTCGGACAGTGAAGTAAAGATAGAGATATTATTTTCGACCATTTCATAACTTCCTGGTAATCAGGACAAAACGTAGGAATTCCGCATGAGCGGAGTAAACACCAGACATCTGGCAACTCATTGCAAACGGTACTGTCTATACATCCCGACATTTGAATACGTCATAAATAGATCGACTCGCACGACACGAATACATAAGTAAAATAATCCATCTAATTTTCACAAATCCTGGTAAAACTGGTTAAACGAACGCAATGCTGAATTCAAATTTGATTTTTTTATGTCAATCGTAACGAGTCGGTAAACCCAGTACGATATAAATTCCACACACGTTCGCCAAAATCATAAACAATGCAACAGACAAGATAATAGAAGATAACCCTTTCAAATATAAAACATTAATTATTTTTCAATAAAAGCTAGACTAATAAGTTACTACAAAATTATAAATACGTTAATTATATCTTCATCTCTAAAATTAAAAAAAAAGAAGTATCAAAAAAAGTAAGGGATGAAAAACGGTAAAGGGAAACGAGCTATATATATATAACAGAAAGATTAATGTGAATTTTGATCGCTCTGTTTTGAAAGTTCACAACATCATATCATAGTGGCCTTGCGTATAACCTTGTTATCAAAGCTTTTTATAATTTTACTATCATAACAGCTGTAGCTATCAATCAACATTTAGGATTACCTTACACGAGTTTACTGACGATTTCTATTGAAAAATCTTATTAATTCTGTGAAATAATAAAAGGACTTCAATGGTAACAATATGAATTCTTGATACTTGAGAAATGTTCGGAGTACGTCAGTCGTACTATTGAAACATTTTAAATAGATAAAAAATAAATAGACCACCGTAGAGGCGTATGATCAGCATAGCTCACGTGTTTATATAATCTGTTGCTATGTTATTCCAGCGCCGGGTACACATGGTGGCCAGGGAAGGAATTCAACTCATGCTATATATTTAAATAATACGCTTCCGAAGCATATGTTACGTTTCGTTATAGAGTCGTTAATCAAAACTGACCTATAAATAACAATTCGTAAGGCCGATCGAACACGTTATTTGAATAGAGTTTAAAAATATTAATCGAATGATTCCACAGCTGGTTCGTATCGATGATAGCTTGCTTGGTTATATTAAAATATCATCTGCCCGACCTTTAATATTGCTATAGGCATATCCACTTTTATTTTATTAAACATACTATGTTATATCTTACTTTATAACTATCATAATACAAATATGTATATAATATGAATGTATGTAATATGAAATTGATACTAAAAGTACTAAAATTACAAATACATAGTCAAAATCACTTTGACGGCGTTTAGTGTAAAACCAAAAAAAATCGCAGAACAACATTATAGAATCAACAAAATATTAGTATAGTTGAACTGATAGTGTGTGTATTGTGCGCCACCGCCCATTGCCAAGTGGTCGGCATTACTTTGATCTTTGATTCCGTAACGTAAACGATTCCTTTGAAACTGAAACCTGATGCTAAGTGCTGTTGCCGGGAATGAGGAGTGTAGTTGATTAAATCGTACGGCAGTTACTTTTTTAAATTCAATCTTTTGTAGTCAATAAGTTCAATCTAGTGTGTGTACTATTCAGTCAAATAATATCACAAGTCAAAAAACCCAAATTATCGGGAAATATGCGTTTTAAATTGTACCTACAGAATATTTTGACTTTTCAGACTGGAACGAAAAATTTTACGAGCTTAGAACGAAAATCATTTCATCGGAGAATATTGTTATATGAATGCTATAAAAGAATAAAGTGGTTCATTTTTTTTTGAGTTGTGACATAATTTGAGTGCATTCTTGTCAACAAGAAACGTACAAAATCATATTTTACAAAATAGAGATCTTCTAAGCCACCATTTACTTCTCAAAAGGAAGTTATCTGTTTAAACTAAAATAAAGAACTGAAATATTTACTACCACTTATAAGAACAAGTTTATGCTTTTAACATTTGTACGTTTAGTGCTTAAAGAAACACGAAAAATAGCTTAAAATACATTTAAAATTTCAAAAAATTATCTAATTACTAAGTATGAAGTCCGGGTCACAAAAATTGCACAAAAAGGAAAGGTCATCATAAAACATTTCAATAAATAAATACTCTGAGAAACAGCAATTTTTTAATAAAATTAAACTTTTTGAACTTTATCTTAAAATTTAGAATTAAATTGTGTGTAATTAAGTTGACTGACAGGAAAATGTGCTCAATCACACATATTTGAGGCATGAAATAATCGATTTCACGTCACAAAAATGTTTTCGAAACGCAGACTTGGATTAAAATACTCGAGCAATAATTCTAAAAATAGAATTAGATTTATTTACAAATTAAAGCCTTATAATAACTTGATATAGAGATGTTTATTTTTATATTAATTTTGATTCTCCCCTTTTGTTTATCGTATGCATGAGTCATCGGCTCGACATTTCAAAACAAACTCTTATATTCAAAACAAACAAATGCGTAGAAACGTTAAAAGAATCTG